CCTGCTGAGATGCCTTTCACAAACACTGCTTTTTAAGAAAATGCCCCCAGAATAAAATGTTTCCTCCTCCTCTGTAGTGAATGAAATCCCCTCAAAACCAATTCTGGACCAGTGTAAAGTTTTGTATCTGGTATTGTGTGACCATACAGAATTAGAGCCTGTAAACTAACCACAAGGACACAATTCTTTAATTTTTCAGTGGCGCCAGTCATTTAAATGTAGTACTCCTGCTCTAGTAGATTGTAAAATGTCTGACCTAAAAACATTGTTATGAGATTCAAACACCTGTGTTAAGTTGCTTAGAGAGGAGATTTTTTGTTTGGTTAGTTCAAAGTTGGTGTGTCTTTGTTTTTTAAATACAAGGCTGTATGATTCTCTTTTTGAGCTGGTGCACGTAATCTTGGGGTGATAGGGCAGTGTGACATTACAGGAGGATGATACTAAAATATACCAATTATTCTCCAGACTGTTTCTAGAAGAGATGTTCTGTAGGAGATGGGGCCAGTGCAGGGTGCCTACTTGTTTAGTACCAAGATGCAGATTTTCTTTTTAACGCTACTCTCCTTTGAGGCAAAGAGATGACCTAGGTGAGCTCTTTAGTTCCTTCCTTCTGTTCTGCCTTGTAATCTGCTGATTATTTTTTTTTTTGTATGGCTTTGACTTGCCATCAATAATACAGCTAGTTAAAATCTATGCACAGCGAACATTTTTATCAACACCATATTTTAGTGCATAAGCGGGTAAGATAAGTTGCTTCTGCTCAGATAATTACAGTAACTCTTACTCATTTTAAAATTCTCATATATGCAGCCACTTCAGAACTCATTATTCTGACATTCCTGTATTTTTCAAATATTAATGCACGTGATGGATGCATTTGATTTTGTGTAGGTCTCACTGCAATTCACCTGGTGGTGATGGCAAATAGCATGTCCTGCCTCAAACTGCTGATTGCTGCTGGAGTTAATGTCAATGCTCAGGAACAAAAATCTGGACGAACTGCACTGCATTTAGCTGTTGAACAAGAGAACATCCCTTTGGCAGGCTGCCTTTTGCTTGAGGTAAGGGCAGAATTTCTTTCTCTTGGGTCTTTTCACTTACATATTTAAAAGGTCTTGAAAATCCTTAAGCACTTCAGAGGTTTTTCCTGATTATTGACTTGATTTCTTAAATTTGTGTAATGGCAAAATAATTGCTAATATTATTCACTATTCCTTGTTCAGCACTGCTGGTAAACCTTTTGTCCAAGTTGAGGAATTTACAGTTTATGACCCTGACCTGACAGCAAATGCCATGTTTAATGTGCACTGAGTAATCCAGGCAGCCAGAGAAACTACTCATTAACAAGTGAATCACTCTACCTGTGTGCAGTGGAGTGCACATACAGATGTGCATAGAGTTAGCTGTCTATATCTATAAGTACTTGTCTCAGCTCTCTTAACACCTTGGTCCTACTGTGCTTCTTTCTGCACACCCACAGCTTGGCCACAGTAGCCCTTCTTGGCATCCATGTACGGATATGCCACCAGCCTGCTGGCTCTCCTGAAGAGTGGTAGGAAGGCAGACTTCTCTGCCCATCAGTTCAGATTCAAAATGCTGCAGGGAATGAGATGCCAGAATTATTACATGGGATGTACAGTGGCTTTTATCTACCTGACCTACTTGGGTTTATACGCTGTGCCTCCTGCTCTAACACTGCAGCACACAACCACCATCTGTTCCTTCCTTTCAGACAATGATTAGAGTTTTTATGCAAACAGGCATGGAATGGTGCTTTGTTGCACAGTAGCAATGTTTATGCAGATGTAAGTCTCTGCAGCTCTGTTGTATAGATAGGTAGCACTTTTCTTTTTTGTTGTTCAATAAAAACTTAGGGTGATGCAGACGTGGACAGCACTACATATGATGGGACAACTCCTCTTCACATAGCAGCTGGAAGGGGCTCTACAAAATTGGCAGCAGTTCTCAAGGCAGCAGGTATGAAAATAGATACTTGCTGGAGAATTTTCTTTCACAGTGACTATTTAGGTTAGAAAGCTTCAAGCAGAAAAGAATGTGCCAGTGAACTTGTTTAATGAGCAGAATAAATCAAAAGCGTGAAGGATTGTTTTTCCCTCAAGAAAGTCGTACTCTCAGGTACTGCACTACTCTTTAGCACCATCTAATGGCTAAAAAATTCTCTTGCAAGCTCTTGGAATTTTTTTGAGTATTTTGCAGTTTTTATAGCTAAAGCAGTAGAGAAGAGACCTTGCTACATAGCTGGGATAAGTGTTGGACTGCTTTAAAAACAAGAAGAAATAGGTCACTGAAACATGAGCTGGTTAGTGGCTTCTATTTCATAGCACTGGGGAAGATTTAGTTTTGAATATTTATTAGAACATTTTTTCAATTGTATGTAGACCCTTAGTACCTGATACTTCTCCTTTGAAACAGAAATCCAAGCCTCCCATTGCTCTTAATAATACTCAAGACATTTCTTGGACCCTATAAAAAGAAGCACCACATCACAGATGTGCTAGGCTCTGTGTGAGCCAGAAGGGAGACTGAAAGTTAGTTCATATAATCATAGCTCTTTTTTTAGGCATTAACCCTCTGCTTGTCATTTTTGCCCACTTTATAACAGAGTCTTGCATTATCTCGAGACATGACAGCATTTAACTTTAGGCAAAAATGTTATTTGCTGATTTAATATAAAATGTAATTTAGCTTGAGTAGCTACATTAGGAGATTTGCCATTCACACCTTAGAATATATATTTTAAATATTGTTGCAAAGTAACTTGAAGCCTTTTCTTAGGAATTTTTTTCACACTTGTTTGCCAGGTGCAAATCCTCACGCTGAGAACTTTGAACCATTGTTTGATCTGGACGATGTGAAAGATGAAGATGATGATGAAGGAATTGTGCCAGGAACAACACCACTGGATATGGCGGCCAATTGTGAGGTATTTAGTCTGTTTTTTTCAATCATAAATGATAGTTCAGCTCTCTCAGCCAACTTCTTGCATGCAAGCTTACTAATTTGCCATCAAAAATGAAACTTAGTTTAGCCACAAAAAAAACCCGTGATACAGCACTGGAAAAAAATGTCTGCTTAACAGACTTCTGCTGAACAGCAATGACCAGGCACTTCTTCAAATAGTTGCAGGAGTCTTCAATATAGAAAGTACTTAGCTGGTTGGGCAGCTTGTGTTTGGAGGCCTGTATTCAGAGTGAGACACTTTGCTGCATGTTCTTCACTTTTGTGTCCTACCCAAATTAGGCTGCACGGTGCCACCAAGTGTGCACAGTTGGTTTGGTATGAGTGCAAGGTACAAGCAGTCAGCATCTCTAATCACATGGAGTTGGGGAGGTGAAAATCCAACTCAGGGTTTATTTTAAATTATGAATTGCAGACAGGCAGTAACTCCTTACTTAGCCAATGCTACTGCCACTTATTTACTGCAAATACTTTATCTGTATCTTGAAAACAGTTGCCAGATGACATAGCTAAGGGGCAAGGGAGATAAATCTCAAGATTTCTCCCTCAAGCTTTGCACAGGTCTTCTACAGTATTTTTAGTCGTACTGATCCTGGGACAGAAAAAAAAAATGCCCATCTACAGGCAGAATTGGGGCTGTATACAATACTACTTGAGGCTTGTCAAGATAATGGATGCTAACTAGGTTTCTGCTAAATACTGACTTTATTCTCTTAGGTGTATGACATATTAAATGGCAAACCCTATGAGTCAGCAGTGATTTCAGAGGACTTACTGACACAAGGTAACATCTATGAAGAAGACTTGACTATATCCCTCTAGTAATTGAGTACTGAAAGTGCACTTGCAGAAGACATTGCCCTGCAATAGCTTGTAACTGAAACAGGGAGGGAAAAGAGGTACCCTCTCACCCCTGCATTCTCAGAATATGTATGATTCTGTTAAGAGGTGGGTCACAGGGAGACAAGGGAGTAAGTTTTCAGTATTACATTAATGCATTATTAAAGACTGGCATTGACAGATCCTAAGATAATCTTTAATTTGGTTTTGTTTCTGCTTAGAAATGAACTGGTATGTGATTTGTATAGATAATAAATATATTTCTCTGTTCCCCAGGACATCTGAAAGAGGTGAATGAAAGTTCCAAGATGCAGCTTTACAAGCTGTTGGAAGCACCTGATCCAAGTAAAAACTGGTCCACTTTAGCACAAAAGCTGGGTCTTGGCATACTTACCAATGCCTTCAGGTTGAGCCCTTCCCCATCGAAGACTTTGCTAGATAACTATGAGGTAATGTGGCTGTATGAAGTTATAAAGAATCACAGAATTCTAGGGGTTGGAAGGGACCTCAAAAGATCATCTAGTCCAACCCCCCTGCCAGAGCAGGGTCACCCAGAGCACATAACACAGGAATGCATCCAGGCAGGTTTTAAATGTCTCCAGTGAAGGAGACTCCCCAACCTCTCTGGGCAGCCTGTTCCAGTGCTCTGTCACTCTCACAGTAAAGAAGTTTTTTCTGATTGTCACATGCAACCTCCTATGCTCCAGTTTGCACCCATTGCCCCTTGTCTTATGACCAGACATCACTGTAAAAAGCCCGGCTCTGTCCTCCTGACACTCGCCCTTAACATATTTGTAAACATTGATGAGGTCAACCCTCAGTCTCCTCTTCTCCAAGCTAAAGAGACCTAGTTCCCTCAGCCTTTCCTCATAAGGGAGATGTTCCACTTCCTTAATCATCTTTGTGGCTCTGAGGTGGACTCTTTCAAGCAGTTCCCTGTCCTTCTGGAACTGAGGGGCCCAGAACTGGACACAATACTCCAGATGTGGCCTCACCAAGGCAGAATAGAGGGGGAGGACCGACTAACCACACCCTTTCTAATGCACCCCAGGATGCCATTGGCCTTCTTAGCCACAAGGGCACATGGTCATCCTCCTGTCTACCAGGACCCCCAGGTCCCTTTCACCCACACTGCTCTCCAGCAGGTCAGCCCCCAACCTGTACTGGTACATGGGGTTGTTCTTCCCCAGATGCAAAAGAATGCAGAGACAAGTAGAGAATGTTGTCCTCCTGCATGGTGATACAGTGCCATCCTTTGGTTTTAGCCAGTCTGGATGATGGTGAGCATCTGGTGTTCTTCTCTCTCAGGTTTCCGGTGGTACAGTTCAAGAGTTGATTGCTGCTTTGAGACAGATGGATCACACAGAAGCCATTGAAGTAATTCAGAAAGCACTATCCATCTCACAAAGTCCACCTCACCAAGAGGACAATACAGCAAATGCTCTTCCATCCTCATCACCACTCACCTTTGTAAACAGAGACACAGGTAAAATTGACAGCATATCATCAATAGCTTTATTTAAAACATTTTTTCAATTTCTGCCCCCACCTGCCTTGGACTAAATATTCTAGTTTCATAAACTTAGTAACATACCAAAGGCAATCTAAAAGGGCTCAGTGTTCCGTAGGCAGAGAAGTGGTGGACAGTTTAGGTTATAGGGGACCTTCAGCAGTCATGCCCTCAGAGTAGGGCCAGTATAACATTACATGAGGTTGCCTGTGTCATGTCCAGTTGTTCTGTGCTTCTGGAACCATGGAAGGTCTGTTGTAGTTTTAGGCAGGTGACTCAGATAACAGAAAACCAGAGGTTATGAGAAGGCAGTTATGTCATTGTTCAAAATACATATATATATTTCTGGAAAGGAAAAGGAAACAGCACAGCAACTCTGTCCTGGTCTAATGTCGCCAGTTTATTCTCTAGAAAATGGTTCCGTCATGGAATGAACCTTCATACCTATCCAAACATGCTTGTATATATATTGCCTCTTGAGATTAATCTTAAAGGGTAAAGAAGTTTAGGCTGCTTTGCAACATGTATAGCTTGCATCACGTCATTTAAGACGGTTGTTTAGAAAAATAATACTGAACTCCAATATGCTGACTCCTCTTCTAGTCATACCATGCCCACCTCCTACCTTCCCTTGCAGCTAGGCGCTTCTTTTGCAGATCTTGCACAGACAGTTACTTCCTCTTTCAGGCTCCCTTATTAGATAGAAATTGCTCAAAAATAAATCTGTAAGTAAAATAACAGATAATGTTTTAGGATTGTCATCCTGGAGTTATATACTTACACAGAATCTATTAAAGTTTTGCTCTACTACTGGACCTGGGCAGAGTCCTGACTAGTGTGGTGACAGCATTAGTGTCATCAGAGCCCTGGGCTTCTAATCCCATCCAAGCTCCAACTGTGCTTCAACTCTGCCAGCAGTGCATCAGATCACAATGCCCAATATTCAGCATAGCTTTTCTTATAATACCTAAGGTTATTTTCCCATAGAAGAACTTTAACTTACTTGTTTGCATTCCTTAGGCTTTCCTGAAAGCAACACAAAACAATGTATTTCCCTTTTCTGTGTCCCTCAGGTGAGCTTTACAATAACAAATTTCAAGACAATGAAAGCGTGTGTGACAGTGGTGTGGAGACCTCGTTTCGCAAACTGAGCTTTACCTACTCAGACTCTCTGAACAGCAAGTCATCAGTAACACTGAGCAAAATTACCCTAGGCTATGGACATGAAAGTTCAGTGCCAACCAACTACATAGCCGACTAGTAATATTCTATTAGCTATATGCCATTATGGGAACAAATGTAACATGTGAAATGACATTGGTGTCATCCTGGCCTGAGGGAAGTGAATTCACAGCCAGAAGTGTGCTGACAGAACCACACAAGAACCTGAACCAACAGCAACTTCAGCATGTGACTCCTATCCATTGCTTCCTTCCTCAAGTCAATTTTATTAATATACAAGCCATATACCATAACCAGGGCTCTACTGCCTCATTGATACACAGGACTGGCCACTGCAAATGACTGACAGAGCTTTTCTGGTTCATGAGGATTTTCTTTATAGACAAAAGTCACTCTTTGTTAATGCATAATACCAGCTCACTTAATAAACAGAGGTAATGCACACAGAGCAATCAGAAGATATAGTTTCTAGCTGCTCTCCTCATAATTTCTGCAGCACAGTTGCATGAAAAAGCTCATAAAATAGCTCGCAAAGAAAAATCATTACTTTAATCACAACGACAACTCAGAGAGAAGAAAGCTAACAAATCTTGTATATTTCAAATGTATTTAAACTTATGTTTGGTGCCTCTTAGTCAAAATAATTTTTCAAGTTTGGCATTTTCCTATTTGTAAATATATTTTTATATATCTGTTCCTTTAAAAAAAAAGTATGCTTTTTAAATGCTTATTTTTATTTTACTTTTATAATAAAAACCAAAAATGAAATTGCTTGTCTACATTTGCTGTTATTTTTACATATCTTTACTGAAGAATTATCATTTCAGTCTTAGGCATTCATAAAAGATTATCTTTTTCAAGTACTAAAATAAATAAATGGTTGCAAGCCACCTGCCCTAAAGCTAAAGTATTTTTTATGGTGGGAGACCAGGAGCCTCAGCTACTGCTGAGCAGCTGTGCTTTGTCTGTGCTTTGGAACAAAAGCTTCTCTCACTCATGATCTCTTTTAGTTCTTGTAATTATGGCAGCAGAGACTCATTTACACTGAAACCAACTATTTAGCATCTCAGCAAAACTGATGAGAGTGTCTTAGGACTATCTAGAAACCCCTCTAACAACTGTGTTCCTAAGGAGTATTTCTTCTTGTTTCATGTTAATTTTGAGATGGTGAGTGTAACTGTTACACATGTCAGCCCTAACAGGAATACAACACAGGTACCTGATTTCATAATGAAATGCAACCAGCAGCATTGTACCAGTGCCACTCACTTGTAGCCCATTTTCTTTGCACAAAGATGGAAGATGGACAGTATTGGTCTTGGCTCAGCTCAAGTCTTCAAGAACCCGGGTGTCACTCCTAAGAACAAGAATCAAGATAAACCTTGAGAACTGTTCTGTTTAGAGCAGTAGTTGCTGTAATTAAACCGAAAGTAATGAAAAAAAAAAAGACACTTGTGAAATAATTTTATATCCAGCTGAATTACTGAGGACATTAATTACTTACAGAGAAACAAGATGCCTAACAATAGAAGTGCCATTCTTTCTTTCAGCTATTTTATGTATGACCTACATATGCAGTATCAAAGGCACACATTTTTGTTCAACTAATGTACTTGCCCAGTGATCTCTTTGCCTTCCAGCTGTAAAAGAAACAGGCAAAGGGTTCTCATATTCTGGAGCTGAAGGAGCTTTCTGAACCTCAGCAAAGCTGCTCTTCAAGTCAAATGCACCTTCTACTGCCACAGGAATTCCAGCCCAGCTCAGGGTGCTGGCAGAGAGTTTTATGAAAATCTCAACAATCCTGCAGGTCATCAGAGCATCCTGGCTGTTGAATCACACCTTTTAGCCTTATTTCTGACCAGCTCTGCTTTTAAACCACCAGAAGACACCTGGGTCTGTATTTCCTTTAGTACTTCATGACCAAATGCTGCATAATAGCTTTTGGTCAGGTTAGTGGTCATGTAATGAACAGTGGGACCTCTTCACCCTGCCTATTCAAGTGCTTTAAATGACAGTCCTTCCTTGCAGCATCTCAGTTTCAAGTCTATTTGACAAAAGAGGCTTTGATAATTTTTTTTTTTCCCTACCCTCTTTGTTTAGAAATAGAAAAGCATTCATTCAAAAGTATTGTCACTAATTCAAACAGGAACATAAAATTTTCAAAACTGAGTCACGTAATAGGACAACTTTCTCCATTTGCATTAACCCTTATCATGTTCAGTATGTGTCAACAGGCATGTCACACAGTGTGTCAGGCCTAGGCAAGAGTAGGAGGTAGAACACAGCTGCTAGCATAGGACCCACTAAAGAAAGCAGCACAACATCTAGTAGAGACATTTGTGTCTTCTTACATAGTTCTCATCTGGCAGAGCAAACCTACCAGAGACCCTAGTGATTACTTCAAGCAGCTCAATTAAAAGGAAATGTTAAAACCACACAGCTTTACCCTTTCTGCTTTGACTTTCTTCTTAGTAGGTTGTCATCCCGTACTGATGCCACTGGGAGAAGGCCAGACTCCTTGCAGGTATGAAGATGAAGGAAGCATACAGAGGGAACTAGGCTTAGCAAGAGAAAGCATAAGCTATGCAGACAACTCAACAGAAAAATTTTAAAGCAAGTATATTCTTAACAGGTAGCAAGATATATTCATGTGTTTCATTTGCATTCCCCTTCAGACACAGATTTATCCTTGTGATGAAATAAACTATAAAATAGTCATGCAGGAATCCAGCAGTTCACTGCCTGAGAGTTCCTGCCTATGCCTGGCTTACAAAAAGAAACCTCCCCCTCAGCTGTAGGTTAGTAATGGTCTAACTCAGTCTTACATTTTCATTCACCACAGTAAGATAGCAATTGGACCTCACTACACCTTCTAGCACAGGGTATTGTCCCTGTCCTGTTCTATATTGCCTCTAAGGAAAGAAAACTGAGAAAAATATTATTCCTGACTTTTGAGAAATTACTATGTTGTTTTTAAGATATATGTATGAACAGCAAGAACAGGGTTTCTGGAGTTAACTTTTTTTCTGTTAGAAGTTTTCCTAAAACTTCCCCAACAAGCTGTCAAGCTCTTACTTGCTCAGAGCAGGGCAACTCCACACTGCAGCTGGATGAATACAAGTACTGACTAGGCCCATGCCACACTGGGCTTCGAATGCACTGCATCATACTGCAGGAAGCCTGGTGTGCATTTCCATTAGCAATTAAAGCTCTGAGGCTGGAGGGTTCGAAAAGCATAAACCAACAACCTCAAACTGAGCCTTAAAAGCTGACCACATGAGTTAGTCCTTCTGAGTGCTACTGACACTTCCTGTCACTTTGGCAGTAACTACAGAGACTTCTCTGGAAACACTTGCAATATTCAAATGAATCACTATTAAAATAAGAAAGGTTGTTTAATCAAGCTTTCTTCCCTGGAATGTAGAGAAGTATAACCTTTAGGCATCCTAAGTCAAGTTTAGTATTAAGTTTTAAAATAATTACAGTGAGGATCAAAATCTGAAATAATTCTATATGTAACCTGCACCTGCATTAGCTGGAACTTGCTGCATTACTTTGCTACTGTGCTACAGTAATAAACACCAGAAACTTGTGCAATACAGCAAGCTGAGATCACAGCACACAGAGCTTCCCTACATTTGACAAAAAAAAGGATCATTCAGAAAGTTAAACTGCCCTTGATTTTAGGTTTGCTGCCACTGCTGTGGGTTTCTGGTGTCATCTTGGGATGCACTGACAAATTTGGAAACTAGTGTGATAGTAGAAAGTTCTAGGAAGCATTCAGAGATTTTGTGGACAGCATGAAGGATGAGAATCTTACCTGTACATGATGGTGTATGAAGAGTCTTGTCTTCCTTGTTTGGACAAGTGAAATGCTGTTTTCCTACATTTAAGGAGAAAGAGCAACCCTTCTGTCTCTCCCAGCTAAGTGACAGAAATGATGGTGCCCACTATTAGCTCAGGGAGCTATGGTCAATACTCACCCACCAGCCACAGCTTTCAGCTCTGCTAGAGCTCATAATCCTCTCTCACAGTAGAGCAGTTTTGGAGTCACTGCCAAAGGTATGGTCCAAACTTCTGCTGGTTTTGAAAGATTCCTACAGGTACAAGCAGAAGACACGACAAGTTAATTGCCTAGGAGTTGCTTTTCCGTATTCAGGGTTATGAGCAGGTTGATGCCATGCTTAGAGCTGGGCTGCAGTATGTACATTATTCAAAGCCTGTACAGTTTCCCCATGGACTTGTTTAAAAGCAGCTGGAATAGAAGTTTTTCAACCATTCATTTACCTTTGCTATTTTCACAATACAGAAGAGCACTAAAACACTTGTGACTGACCAACTTACCATCAGTTAACTTGTGGCCCACAGCAGCACTTGCCAACATTGCCAGCACACACTCATGTGCACACACACACAGAGCAGTATCATGCCCTCTGGGCTACCTAAAACAATAATGTTTGCCAGAAAGACATGAGCAGAATTACTGCCTCACTTTCAGATGTGCAATCACCTCAGTAGCTTGTCTTCAGCATCCCAGGCAAGAAACCATACACTTGGCTACAGTACAAACCAGATTTGTGGCCAGAACACTTCCAGATTGATAGCAGATGTCTTGATAGACAAGCCATGTCACTGTCTGAAATACTTGTCCTGCTTCTTCATCAAAGCTCCTCACTACTCTCAACTCCTCAGCAGCGATCAGGCTGGGCAACCTAACTACAGCTTCCTACCATCCTACCAGTACCATCAAACAACTCAACGAGAGATCAAGCTTTCCACTCCCCCTTTCACAGGAAACCAGCTGAGGGCTGCTGGCTTACACCATAGCACCTTTACAGTTGTTGGGGAAATAAGCTAAAGCCTGCAGTGCTGAATGCTTATATCTTGGTATATCACATACTAGTTGGTAAGACAGAATCCAAGGGCCAGCATGCCAGAGTATTACTAGCTAGCTTATTTACAACAGGCAAAGGAGGACTGCTACAACAAGAGAAGAAAGAGAAGCTGCAATGCTGGCAAAAGCCTGGCAATCACCATGCTTACAAAGAGGATCAGAGACCAGCATTTAAAGTTTTGATT